TTACGTGGGGCTTACAGTCACGCCATGTCACGCCTTTTAAAAGCCGTGGTGGTCTCGCTTGCATGTTTAGATCTTGGCTGCGGTTTGCTTGATACAGGCTAACCGAAGAAAGAACAATCTGACCTGGAAATAGGGGGGGGCTCCAATGGAGCTTACCGAATCGACTGGGCGCTGTCAGTTAACAGCGTTTTGAAAGAGTACAAGAGCAGCGCCAACCGGCGACAATTTGGAGGAAGATTCACAAAGCCTCCAAAAGCGTCATATCTTGGATAGATTCTTGGCTGACGCATCGTACATGCGCAGGAAACGAGTTGTCATTTACGCACTTAACGAGCAAACGAACAACACGGAGGTGTCCAATCAGCCTCAAAGTCGAGGCAACTCGGCGTGGCTCAAGACAAAAGGCAAGGCACCCGCCAGTTTTCAAGCCAAGCTGCTCGGCATTGTTTGTGCAGCACGCCTGGCATTGCTTTCCCCAAATCGGGGGTCTCGTGATGATTTTTGTTTGTGATAACAACAAAGGGTAGACTCTGGAAAAAGGGATACACCTACTGTATGTGTCGATATCAGATTCCCTAGGGTAGGGTGTGGATAGATTGCTTCCTCTGTTCTTGGCATGATGTTTCTTGGCTGCCAGCCGTACTTTAAGACTTGTGGACTCTTCGCGTCTATAGGGATTTATAGCGCATCCAGCTAAACGTTTGCCTTTTAGCAACGGATTAGCGGATCACGAAGTTTCAGCTTGCTTGTTCTTTGAAAATGTGTTCATGTTTGCTGGGGCGGGAGCAAACAAAGATGTTTGCTGACAGAATGACAAAGGGTTGGGAAGATGTGCATTCTGCTGGTGACTAAAAGTGAGGCAAACAATTGCATCAGCTTCTTTTAGTGTAATGTAGTCTTTTAGGGAAACCAACCCATCTTGGGGGGCACCCCCATTTGGAGACAAACCGATATAATTCCCCAACAGTTGCCAGCGATGGGGTGTCAGCCCAGACTTCGGGGTGGTCCCGGGCGGCTTCTAGGTAAGCTTCCGCAGGGTTCCGCGATGGTTCTGCGAGGGGGCTGAATATGGCCGATCCGTTGCGAAGGGTGTACCTGTGTACCTTCCGCATCTGCAGAACCGATACGATTGTGGTGCTGTTGGGGATATCGCCTGGGCTTATTATATTTGCACGCATATATAGATAGATAGATATATATATATACATATATATATACATATGTATAGAGATAGATAGATAGTTTGTTTATATATATATATATTGTGTATTTGCATATATATATATATGGCCGGACCTCTCCCAATACCCAGGTGTGTGTGTATATATATATATATATTCATATGTACAACACATCAGTGCCTGGGTCCGCTTAAGTATGCGGGGAATATGTGTCCACTTCAGTTTCAGGAACCATTGCTTCAAAGTAGCACTTGCGTTTCCCATTGCTTTTATGTTTGACCAGAAACGGGGCCGTTTAACTTCGCCTCGGCAACTGGCAGGCGATACCCACCCGCGGGTGGGTGGGGGGGCGGGGGGTGTTGGAAAGCAAAGGTGAGAGGTCCTGGATGTTGGATGTGGCTTACATCAGGGTTTGTTTTTGCCCCCTTTGGGGACGAAGGAATCCTTGCAAAAGGGAGAAACCGTTTTCCAAGCACAACGGTCACCGGTCGTAGCTACTAACTATGCTTAGTGAAGGCTATGGCGTGCATCCCCCGCAGGCCGACCCGCTATTGAAACCAGGGACATGTTTCCAGGGGCAAGAGAGAGAAGCTGGGATTGCGTCTCTTCAGCCTGGCACTTGGAAAGGTGACTTTCCACCGGCAAGCCAGGGGGTTATGCAGGTGCTAACGGGGTCCATGCAGGGAAGCTCCCTGAGGCTTCCCAACTACCCTTCAAACCCCAAGCCTGTGGAACTCTAAGGAGGCTCAAGGACATGTAGGTGAAACTGGTAAGACACGAGGATTTTGTGGGGTTCCATTCATGGGCTCCCCGCTTTGTTTGGGCCATCTTTCAAGTTTCTTGACCCCTTTGGACCCACAAATGGACGGCCTCGCCACGAGGCCATGTCCATCGTCAAGCGCTTCATTCCCTTGATGGCGCCGGGGGGAATCAGTGGGACCAGGTGAGATGTACCAGCATGCGACAACTTGCCATGGCACAACACCAGTTGTTCGGTGGAACCATTTGTTCTTTCTTTGTTTGGTTAGTTTTCCACAAGGCAATGCCAACCCCAGGAAGAACTGGCCTTAGGGTCACTGGTTGCAGTTGGGAAAACTGGAATTGAAAGCGGTGACTTTGTTGAAGCTGCTGAGGGGGGTTGTCAAGGATGCCTGAAACTTCCGAACACGCCAGGGGTTGAACCACTTCTTCTCACTTCCCGAGTTTCAGCGCTTCATACTTTTTGGGACAACTGTTTGAGTAGTAACCAAAAAGTTTGGACTGGTTGGGCCATCCACTCAGGAAGTGAGAATGGGAACCCAGTGGAAGTACAATTCACTCGAATAACAGACATTGTTTGACAAAGTTGCGTACGATGGGCGCTTGTTTTACGCTTCCTGTATTCTTCGGCGAAAATTGAAGGCGCTTGCCGCGTTGGATGGCGGCCCCCAGGTGTGTCTTAACTCTTGACCGTTGCAGGTCGGCAAGTCCAGGTTTAGAGTCAAGAAGGTAGCTATTCTAGGTGATATCGCTCTGCAATGTCTTTTTAACTCTGGAAATGGTTTGGACAAAACAAATGGCGAGATCACCTGGAGTAAAACGAGGTCACTCACGGTGTAGCTCCTTGCCTGGGTTCAGTTTGGGAAAGTATGGAAGTTTGAACAGATTCTACTTGGTACACAGAGACTGGGTGTCTGGGAAGTGGCTGAAGCCAGTGAACCAACTGAACCCGGTAGCCCACCTGAACCTGGCATGAAGCCTCGCCCCCTTTCGGGCCAGCTCCGTTGTCATGGCGGTGCGTTCAACTAGCGTGGGCAAAACAAGCTGATCACTTACACTCGCGATTGTTTTCCCGAGAACATTGGTTCTCCAAGGCAATTCTAACACCCACGGCTCCAAAGCTTGATTCCTTTAGCGTTTGGAGGGGCCGGGGGGATACCTGTGCATCAGGGAAGCCTTGATTTTTTGTGTGTTTTGGATGGGTAGTTTGGGGATTTGAACCCCTGGTTCCTGTGGAGGGCAAATGGGAAACCACCCCCTAACCCCAAAGCACCAATCCAAACCACCAATTCCAGAATTGGAGGGAAGCTGATTTAAGAGCAACTAGCCCTTGTGAATTGCCCCGCAATACCGCGGCCTCCCGTTTGCGTCCGTCTCAATGTAGGACCGAGTCCTTGTGCAGAAGGTCAAGGCGGAGGCGTGGCTTGTTGGTCGCAGGGGCGCCCCTCCCGTCCGGTTCTGTTGGAAGGGTTGCCCTCCCTCGAAGACGATCGGGCTTTGCAAGACTACGACCCGTCTGGGTCCCGAAGCCCAAGCAGCCCAGGTCCATGATTGGAAGCGGGGTAGATTGCCCCGAGGATTGGACGCTTTTGGGGTCATGTAAAGGGTCAGGTGCCAAACAGATCCTCTCCACCCGCAAGAGAAGATGCTCCGCCCCCCAGGGGTCGTGATATGTCTCCCTTGAGGTGCTTAGCACATCACCTCTTTCGCCAATTTGAGCTGAGCTTCTGATTGGCGTAAGAGGAGACAAAAGGGAAGGGTGTCGGGCATGAATCGCCCCCATGCTTTGCGTATTGTTGCTTTTCAAAACAAGTGTAGCCGCCTCCTCACAAGCGGTTGGGTTGGCGACATGAAGGTTCCTTTCTTGAGGGAGTTCTGATGATACGAATCATAGAAATATGTTCATTGCAAAGGCTTCCCCAACTTTCTGCCTCGTGGGCAACACGGGTTCCCCACCAACTAGCAACAGGTTGAGCTGTTTGAAACGGGTTCTGGAAAAAATACCCTACTTGGGGGCGCTAGTCATGGATGGTTACCAGTGCCGTTTTTCAGTGTTTGTTTGGAGGGGGCAAATGCTCTTGCACATGCACACCGGGAGGATTGTGGATCCTTCTCGCGGTCTTCATGGAAATTCCCCTGAAGGTTTGGGGCAAAAGGTAGTTGTACAACGCCTCTGGTCCGGTTGGGTCCTTCGGTCCGGAGACCCGGGTCCTGAATACATAACATCCAGTTTCCCCAAAACGAAATCAACAGAGGATGTTTTGGTTTCCCTCAGACCCGCTAGCTAGCACCAAGCTCTAGTCCATGCGCTTTTGCGAGGCAAAGACTGCGAGCGGCATCCTTTTGTGCGGGAGCACGATTGTCGAGTCGGTAAGGGCATGTCGAGTCATGAGTGGACTGCTTCCCTGTAAATTCGAGTGGAACCCAAAAAAAGTAGTGTTTAGAGGAATCTTCCTTTCGGGCACCCTTTCTTGGGTTTCATGTCAATCTGCAGGAGAGTAAAGGTTCACAAACCCTTGATTCTCCAAAAAATGCAATTCAACACCCAGGATAGTTGCAATAGTTAACCTACAAAGGGTCCAACTTGTTCCAACACGCTTCCTGTTTAGTCGCTGTCCACCATACCCTTGTAGTGTTGTTGTCATGCAGGGGACCCTTTTGGCAGGAACGGAGATACCGTGCCATCTCGATTCTTTTCAGAGATCCTTCTCCTTGGAAGCTGTGCAAGAACTCATGCCAGAGAAAGAGGAGGGTATGTGTGCCCAGAGTCTGATTGCTTTGAGCTTTGCGGCGGTCGCATTCATTTCCATCCGGTCGCGCGTGGACCCCATGGAAGGAAAGTGAGGTGTCTCAAACATAGCCCTTGAAGTCCTAACACTGGCTTGTGTCCTTGTAGAGAATTAACTGGTAAAGCCAACCAAAAGCTGGTCTCCTGTTCATGGGACCCCCCGCCCCAAAACAGGAGAAACAAGAACAGAAGTGATTATTATTATTATTATTATTATTATTATTATTATTATTATTATTATTATTATTATTATTATTATTATTATTATTATTATTATTATTAATAAATGGTAGTAATACAGAAAATGGATAATAATAATAATAATAATATTTAGTAAGCTATTTCAAGTGATCCGTGCTCAATCGAACGCAAAGACACAACTACGTTGGCAGAATTGCCCTCAACGCAAACCATCAACCTACATTATGACATGCTGCTTGCAAAAGAAAAAAAGAAAACAACATGGTTGCTCGAGCCGTTCCCACATGCCCAAAGCACCGTGGAGCATACGTTTGCTTTGGTTTCCTGGGGCCCCAATTTCCACCCGGATGTCGGACCAACCCAAAGGGGCGGAGCTTTGGAACGTGAATCTCTTAGCACACCTGGTGACCATGCAGACTTGAACCATGGAAAGAGAAAACACAACGACCGCCCCTGCGCTTTTCAAAAGCAGTGTGAAGTGTTCAAACCACTGCAAGAGTCCTGCGAGGAGTGCGACCAGTTGGAAGGCTTTGGAGAGGTTGTTTTACGTCTTTGGCCTATCACCCAAGCATGGAACCTGAAAGGTTTGCCTCTCAGACCAAGTTCCTGGGCTCCATGTTTGCTTTAAGGGTACCCGGATTTCCTTTGCCCAGGCCAGACTCCGCCAAGCAAGCTCCAAACTGGGCGAAGGCCAGAAAGCGCGGGGGTCGAACCAGATGTTCCGTATCGCTCGGACCTGTGGCGACCCTTTTACTGTTGGCACGCTTTGGGAGCTTTTGGACTTCAGACTATTTGGGAAAACTATTTTGGGTAAAGCTCAGACTTGTTCGGCCAATGCACTCAAAAGTGTTGGAGTCCGGTTTGCGAGGTCCGGCTGAACAGGAAACCCAAAGGAAAGCCAAAGGAAGTCCATTTCGGGGGGTCCAAATGTTTGGACACGTTCCCATTGAGCTGTCAAAGAAGTGTCTTGTGCTTTTCTCCCTTGGAAATCCACTGCACGTTTTGGATCCAATGAAAGGCACAGGGCGGATTTGTTCATACTCCCATATTCTCACTTTGGGCTGTTGGGAGAGCATGGCAAGCCCAATTTGCCTTGGAATGCCCCTTCAAACTGACACGTGAACCCAAGAAGCCAATCCGTTTTGTTTCAGGAATCTCCGTTTCCGGACACTGAGGCCGCTGAGTATCAAGTCCGGCCAATATGCCTTGGCCAGACCTGTTCTGAAAGGTCTGGAGATATGTCTAGGATCGCGCCGCGGACCTTCCGACATTCGCAAATCGGACCCCCAAAACGTGTGGCTTTCGCTTGATTCCTCGATGAGCCCCCGGAATGGCCCTGAAAAAGCAGTCCAAAAGAGGCAAGCGGGTGTTGATCCAGACATAGCGGGCATGCTTCGGGGTAACGAGGTGGGCATTTCCAGACTTGGCTTCTGGTTTTCTCTGAAAAACAATGTGAGCCCCATCCAATTCATCCAAATCGCCCCTTATATAGACTTGTGAAAACACATGGTTTCCCGTGAACTTCCTACAAAAGCTGATATGAACCTTTCGCTGTTCAGGGGTCTTGCGTTCCTCCCAAGTTGTAGCAGTTTAGTTTTGGAAAACCAAAGGACAACCACCCAATGTTTGTTGGGTTCCTCAGAAGACAAACCAAGATGAGTTGCAACTTCCAGAATTCTTCCATTCGGGTCGCTAGTCACATCCCCAGAGGTTCTGGCGACCGGGCCTGGCCGCGTCTCCAAGGACGGAGCATCGGCGTCTTAACATGGGCGGCTCGTCTTGTTTGTTGGCACCGGATTTTGGGCAGTAAATGGAAGTCAAACGGAAGACCAAAATCCATTTTTTGCGGCTCCCCTAAAGAACAAGAGACACCCAAATGGACTTATGTCCACCACCCACCTTTCAGGGGGGTTTCCCTTTGGAGTCAACTAACCAAAAGAGTGCCCAATTGTTTCCCATGGCCACCCCTGGCGGGGGTTTAAATATCCAACCCCGGAAGGCTTCTCAAGAAGCCAACCTAAAGAGGGTTCAAAAAGCGCCAGTCAAAGCCGTCCCGGTTCGGCGAATCAAAAGCTTCCGCTCTTAGGGGGGAAACCCGATTTTGGGTCTTTGCAACGGCGAGACTGCTCTCGTGGGCGTCCGAGTCTGCGTCGCAGAGACTGACCTTGGATCGGAAGCGCTTGTTGACTCCGCACTGCTTCGCGCCGCTCGTGGTGGCCCTTCGCTTTCCAACGGTCAACTTGCAACCATGGATGGTTTCCACATGGTGAGGTCAGGACCAAAATGAGCCAACCAGTACATTCCGAGCACCTACCCTTTGTGCCATGGCGTGTCTTTTAGGGGACCCCGACCCATGTGTGGGCTGATGATTGAGAACATTTAGGGAACCCCATCAAATCGGGGAACCCCCTGTCAGGGTTCATTGGGAGTTGCTGACCCCGAAAAAAAAGAAATAAGCTCAGATGATATCCCCAACAGCATGCGGTGCTAGTTTTAGTGCTCGCACCACCCCGTAGCCCTCGCAGAACCTCGTGGAACCCTCGTGGAACCCTGGTGGAGCCCTCGTGGAACACTCGTGGAACCTTGCCTCAGGGCCGCCCCGGACCACCCCGGAGCCTATATGGGCTGAGACCCCAAAGCTTCCAGCTGTTCGGGAACTAAGGTGGTCCACACTAAAAGGGGGCTGAGCAGTGGATTAGTTGGGTCTCCACCAGCATCATCAATGGTTTTCCTCTTTTAGACAGACCGATTTGCCTAAGGATGGCTTTTTTCTTAATTGGTCTGAGAGATAAACTCACCTTGCCCTTGACTAATCGGATAGGCGTTTTAGGAATATCTCAATCCCCAGCTCCTCTTCAAGGACGGTTGGTTGCCCCGAGCCTTATTATAGCCAAGCCATTGGAAGGGAACTTTGGTAGGCTTGCATTGGTTTCCCCTTTTCAGGTTGCAACATTTTTTCCCTGACGGATTTATGGAAGCTCCCAGGATTGAGGCTGCCAGCATGGTTTACGATTGGCTGAAGAAAGCGGTTTCCAGCCCGAGGAAACCTGGCCTGTCTAAATCATATGGCTAGTGGCCGCATATCCCTCCAAGCCATTGGGGGTAGTGATTGGGTAGCGGAAGCTTAGAAAGCAATCTTTGTTTTGTCAGGGTAAGGCATTGGCGTAAGGCTTCACTCCCCATTCTGTTCACCCATGGTTCTCTTTTAGAAACCAGAAGTATAACCCTGAAGAGAATGGGGAAGGTACGGCTGGAATCCGATTAGTTTCAGCTTTAGCTTATGCCTTTTCTTGGCTTCAGCTTCCCTTCGAAGGAGGGCGAGCTGTTGGCGATGAACGTTCAGGCAGGGACGATCGAGCAACCCCCAGACCCTTTTTCATGGCGACCGGCAAAAGGATTGACTTCCATTTAGTACCATTTAAACCAATCCCGAAAAGGCTAGCCTTAAAGAGGACACACAGACACACAAACATGTTGTTTAGAGGGGGATTGCCTTTGAAGTCGACGACCAACCATGCCCCTTTTGCCTATGGCTGCATGTTTGCGATACATATACCCGACTGGCTGCGCAGCTTGCGAACGACGCACCGCTACGTGTGAGGCGTGCCGCGTCCCTGTCTGTCTTCAAGTCTTCCACCCTTCACTCCACACGGCTGTATGTACAAACATTGCGTTGCATGGCCGTCTCAAGATGAGACTAATGGCGATCCTGCAAGCCGAGTATCTCATCCATGGGGTTCGCCTATTGCCATAGAAGCCAACGTCTTCCCAGAAGCATGCAAGATCGTTTTGGTACAATTGTGGCTTGTGCAGCACACTTTGTGGACCTGCATTCGCCTGTGCCACCGCACCACACAAGCAAGCAGTGTTCACACGATGCCAATAGCCTCAGGGCAAAGTCTCCGTGACCCAGGCCAGAAGCAAAATGGGAGGTCTCAACCATGCCCCAGATGTTCTCCTTCCTTGCAATGTCTGCCCGAGGGCCACCTCTTTCGTCAAGGTGCCGAAGAAATCATTCCGAGCTTCACCGGAACCATACCAAGACTCAATCGGGGCATGGCCCAGGCGCACCTCTTGGCGGTCTGAGCCACAACACCACATACCCGAATGGCTTATTGACCTTAGACAGGCTGGCGACTGTCTTTGCTTTGGCGGTCTCATAGGCCGACATTCGGAAGCATCTCTCTTGTTGCGGCAATGCGCCCTTCATTTTCAGCTCTGAGCTGAGAGATGGTCAAAACATTTGGAGGGTTGCAAGCTTGCCAGAGTGGCGCGGGGCATGGTGCTGGTGTGGCAAGTGAAAAGCAGCCCTGCCGAAACCAAAAGCAAATGAGCAACCGGCACATGACAGCACATATTCCTTGCCATTCGGTTCATGAATAGAGCAAATCCACTTCGCAACAGCTGACATGGAGCAACCCCTTACACTGGGAGAACAGCTGCAGGGTTTTGCCCATCAGCGCAGACTTTGAGTGGTGCCCCTTTTGTCCATTTTTTGAGGGGGTGTCCTTTGAAGCCAACTATACCCGAAAGAAGAGAGCCCTTTTGTCCCACAGTAGAGGTCTGGGTGTCACCCATTCCCAGTTTGTGCACCCAGTCCAGTGTCCAGAGCGCTCACGCGAGCGATCGCCAGGTTGGCGACACAGTGGTGATCCCAGAGTACGGCGGCGTGACCTTGAATTTTGACAACGAGGATGGAACCGCTTTCCCGCTTGCCCCCCAACCAACAGTAACACGTAGATAATTGTGTGTGTCTAGCTTTGTGTTCACTGAATCTGTTTCGAGTAAAATGTGCAGCAATATTGAAATGTGCAGAATATCGATGTGCACTGGCTTTCTCGGCCTCAGAAATAAAGCGAGACTGGCGGATGTGTGGTTATTTTGTTGAGGGTACCTTTTGTTTGTGGTCTCCAAGATGATTTTGTATTTGGGAGTAGACTAAACATAAAGCAGCCTCAGATTGGGGCAAGGAACATGGATCAACCTTTATGTGTCCTTGCAGGAGTACCATGTCTTTCGGGACGAGGACATCATGGGCGTCATCCAGGACCGCCAAGTTGCATGGGGTTAACTGATGGCCACGTGATGGCCACGTTTCGCTCTTCGCGAGCCGTGGGATCCCAAGTGCGGCAGGAATGAGTGCTCTCGTGACGCCGACTTGTAGATTGCCTGCGGTGCTTCGCGCGGCAACGCCGCAGTCAGGCGGCGAATCGAAGAAATGCGCCTTTTGTTGAGGTAACCATTTTGGCAGCTTTATACCCATTTCGGGGGGTCCGTTTAGAGACAAACAAGGGGGCAGTGCAAGTCTAGTACCCGGTTGGAGTGTCGCAACAAAAGATGGAAAGAGCAGAAATGTGGCCTGAGGGCATTGGAGTATCCGCTTTTACGAAAGCCAAGAGGTCGCCATTGGGCTTTCGCAGGCACAAAATTAGAGCGACGTGTCGCACATGAGGTGCCGCACACCCAAAAACTCCGTGGATCTGTGGCCCGAGAGAAAAAGTAATCCATCAGTCGTGCGTCTGAGGGAACCGTTGCCCCCTTGAGAAGGGGGATTCAGTCAATGTACCAGGGAGCCCTCAACCCCCCCTCATAAAAAAGGGTGGGATGTAGTCAATTCGGGCAAGTTGTTTAGTGGAGGAGCAAGGAAGTTTCTCCGCGGGATGTTCATTGAAATTCTGGCACTTTGCCTGTGGACATTGCCAGACGTAACTCCTTGTTGTTTTTCTGTCGGCCTTTTGATTTTGGGTGTCCTTCATGTTTCGCGTTTGCCAAGCACAAAGGTGACGTTTTGACGGGGTCTCACTTTTTGCTGTCAGGTTTCTTCACTGTAGCCGAGGCCAACTTTGAGCTTCGGGCAATTTGCTCAGCGCTGTTCGGTGGGTTCCAACCTTACACCCCTTTGTGTTTGGTGGGGGCGGGACCTAAAATGGCATCAACCAACCAAACCGGTTTCAATCCTTTCTACCAGACGGATCACTTGCAACTGTGGCTCGGATTCGACAGATTCTCGCCAGGGATCTTCCAAGGGTCCAGACATCCGGTGAGCGCAGCGGTTGAGAGTGCGGGAGTTCAAACGTTAAATTTTCACTGGCGAAGCTTTACCTTTGAACCCCGCAGACAAAACCGTAGGGCGCAGTCAAGAATTGTTTAAACCAAAGGCAAGGATTGGGGTTTGCAGCCACCTTTTGACCCCCTGCAAAAAGCCACCACGCTGGTCTCCAAGGGGCCTTACTCGGCTCCCTGTTTGTGAGCAACCCAGGTGCCATCTCCTTTAGGGTCGAAAGGTCAAAATCTGCTAGGGTCAATGCCAAGCTATGGATGAGATCCATTCAGCACCCCCTCCTGGAAGATGCCAACCCAAAACGCCTCTGAGTTGGGACCATTCCCCCAAGCCTTAGGGTTTTGAACGGAACGGGTCCGGTTACATGCCTGCGCGGCCTACTGGGGTCACCCTCGCACATTTCCACGATCCAAATGGTTTTTGGCAGAAGTGATGTTCACCAGGGGTTCAGTGCCTCGGACAATTTCTTTCTTGCTGCGGAAAGCGCGTGGCCTGCCATTTGACGCTTCTGCACAAGCCTCAGAGTCCCATGAATTTCTGAAGAATGAGTGCGGCCTCACGCATGAAGGCTTTTTTCATAGGGCATGTCTCATTCTTGTTTGGTGACTTAGTTTGAATTGGACAAATGTTAACCACGGATTTATAAACCCCTGGTTGATTAATAGAGGGGTGTCCCCTTTAGTGGGGATTTATCACTTTTGGAGGGAACACCACCCCAATTATTTCACGGGTTTATTAATCCTGGGTCAACATTAGATGCGGTTGCTGTTCATACTGTTTGCTCCCGACTCGAAAGCCGCAGCCTTAGCGGCTCAGCGCCGCAGAGACGAGCAGTTTGTGAATCGTTCTTCCATAAAAAGAAACGAGGCTGGATCGGAGCTGCGGTTTGACTTGTCTTGCGCTTCAAGGCAATAGCTGGACATGGGGCATATATCAGTTATCCCAGGGGCGCCCCTCCAATCATTATGACTGGAGGGAAGGCACTTGAAGCAAGATTCAGCAAATTCGGGAGACTCTCAGGAGGTTTATAGGACCAGGATCTTTTGAACCCGCCCTGAACCTTTAAGGAATCCTCACTTTGCACAAATTATAACGAGCTCACCTGCGTTTAAGCGATCTCATCCATGAAGGTTCTTTAATGCCAAAACCAGCCTTTGGGGGGCCCTTTGAGGTGGTATTTGAAGAGAAACCATGAGGAAACTGAAAGCCAACAAGTTCAAGCCATTTCGGGAGGGGGGGGGGGTAATTGTGAGACAAACATCTCAGGGTATTCTCAGATACAAGGCTATTCCTCCTAAGCCGCGTTTATTCACCTTCTGCAGCACCGGTCGATGAAATTGGGAACCAAATGGGCTGGTATTGGGGGGGGGGGGCTAACCCTTGGTTTGGATTGCTTTAAGACTTTGAACCCCTTGAAACCAAATGGGGAGCGGGAGCATCCACAAGCCGTCAATCCAACAATGAATGTCCCCGGATCAATAAAACTCCGGTTGATGGAATCCCTTGGATATATCCCGCGTCCATTTGGCTGTGGGTCAAAACCAATGGTACCATTTTCTGGTAGGTGCAGCACACATTTTAGTCTATTTAGTGGGGATTGGGATGTTCATTGGGGCTATGGGCTTTTGACCCATGCTCACTTGGTCCATTTGGGACTCGCGTCCATCTGGTCCTTGCGCGGCAGGCTGTCCTCGCCATGCGACGCCTATGGTTGCTTCTGGCCTGGAAGCCAAGTGCTTTTCCGGGAGTCCGGGGAGGTTGCGGTGCCAACGTTGTTATTTTTTAAACTAAAGGAGTATTTGCATAAAGTTTCATATTATGCATTACTGGAAAAGCACAACTTACAACAGGTTTCGGGGATTTGTCAGCTTCTACCAAACACATACGACAATTACCTGTTCGGACTCACAAAAATCAGGCCAAAAAAGGAGGGCCTGTGTTACCTTGATTTGTTTTTCCCCATGGAAATTTACTGAGGGTCGGGGTGTTCGAGGGTAAGTGTGTTTTCCGTGACTCCAACATCCAGGATGTGTTGCGCCGTGTTGGGTGTGTGTTTTGCTCACAGGGCTCGGTATCCTGTGTCGGTTGGTCTAGAGGGAAATGAAGAACAGGTTGGTTAATAGTTGGGGGGGGGTGCTATTTCCAGACCTGCTGCTAGTTGCTTCCTTTGTTTTTTGTTCGGGGCGTTAAGCCCCTTTAAATTCAACTACCATCCATGGCCACTGCGGGTTTGGGGTCTTGCTGTTTTGAAGTTTGCTTTCTTGGCCTTTCTTGTTGGTTTTGTTTTTCCGGGTTTCCACAAGAGGGGTTGCTGTCCATTTGGTTGTTTTTCTAATATGATGTTCTTTCGGTTGTATTTGTTCTTCGCCACCCTTGTTGGTTTTCTTCCGGCTTTCCTTTGCTTTCTTTTGACAGCGTCTCAACAAGGCCCGCCTTAATTGGATGAAAGCCCAGGTGCGTACTGTCAATGGCAATGTGATCATTTATTCGAACCCAGACTGCCTAGCGAACAGCATTCAGGTAGCATGTGTGGGTGGGCGTTTTAAGGCTCGAGATGTCCGTGCCGAAATCATTCGAGATCCATTTCTTCGGTCAACGCAACCAACTTTTTGGCATGATCCCATTTGGCATGTGACAGCCTGGCCACCAAATCTTTGAGCTGAATACTGCCAAATCCCAAGTCCTGGGACCACCAGATTGTAACTTATTGGAGCCTGGATCGAGTGCTGTTATCAGGCGGCGAGGGTGGAATGCAGGGGTTCATTGGCAAAGACATGTCGGAAGCTTTCAAACCAGCGTTGCTTCCTGATCGGCCGGGTATTCAAAAGCTTGAGCGTTGGCATCTTGCCTTCCGTCCACCCTGGTCTATGTCTGTCCTCACTGACGCCCACACAATCAGAGAACCCGCGTTTAAGTCAAGCAAAGAAACCGCGGCATCTCGAGCAGCCTTTCAAACAGGAGGCGTATCGGGAGAACTGCGGGTCGTACCCAAACTCAACACCAATCAAAAAAGACGTTTCCCTTTTTCCGGTTCCTTCAAAGTGCCTCGACTGTTTCTTTATGGGGAGAATCAAATGGAACAGCCAGCTGCACTTGCCTTTTAACTCTTGGACTGGGGGCATGTCAAAGTTAGGGGACCTTTTTGATATCCCCTTCGGCAGGCGGCGCAAGGCGGCGCAAGTGTCTGGGAAGGGGGTGTGTTGTTGACAGTGGCCCGTTTGAAGTCTTCCTAAGAGAGGGGCCAGCTCGAGGTACCAGCTGCTGCCTTGAGAGATACCAGTGAGGACACGGGCACGCGAGCGATCAAGCGTTTGTGGCGTGGGGCCTAAATAGCCGTGGAAGGGTCAGTGTTGGTGTCCCCGAAAGGACAGCAAAAGTGGATGGTTGGCTTCCTATTTAAAGACTTCAAACTTCACCCACAATGGTCCTTGATTTCCTTGGGCCACTCGGCTTGCAAGTAGGGGGCACCATAAACAGAATATGTTGTCTCCCTTGCTTTCAATTTGAACGCCATCGAAACAGGTTGCCCACGCCGAAATAAGTCCGAGCAGGTCTACTGAAGGGCGGCATTTGGCAATCTTGACAACAGCAGCTAACTCATTGCTCGGAACACCTATGTCCTTTCCCTTGTATTTTGCGGGTTTCCCCTTTCAAGTCAACTACCAAACCGGTGTTGCCCACTGGAGGCGCTGGAGGTTGGGAGTAACTAGCACATTAGAACCTCCTGAAACATGCGATTTGCCATGTTTCCCTTCAGATCCATGTTTATTCGGGACATCCGCCATGGAAGAATTATTGGCCAGGTTCAGCACAAATAGACAGCCCTGGTGCAGAAAGGAAAGGAAACTACACCGGTTCCGAATGGCTTGGACATCACGCCAGTGGCAATTTCCAAGCCGCCCGGGGTTTTGGAATAGCGCTCAAAGTGAATCCTGAAAAGGGCACGTTGTGTCTGGGACTTGAGAAGTGGAAGTATCAACTTATGGTCAGGTACGAATCCCTGCAGACCC